GCATATCGCTATCCATTTCCGACAGGGGAGTGTTACAGCGCAGAGGCAAGGCATGCTGCAGGGAGGGACGATGATGAGGGTGGAAGCTGGTGGTTTGCGGGGAACTCCATCGGCGCGCAACGGTGCCGCTGTCTTGAGAGCTTGGAAGAGCGGCCGAGAAGAGGTGACTTGGCGGCCATTTGTCTAACAGGAGCAACAAAGTGTGTGGGCAGCGTTAAAAGCCGTGCGAACAAGTAATGAATGCGAACTGAATAATGCCTCAAGAAAGTGTCAAATGAGCGAAGTAACTGGTAAAAACCAGCCTGAACAAGCGATCTAGGCGGATGATTTAAATCTTGGAGTTAGCCGTCATGTGTATGACTAGCCCGAGTTTTTTTTTCATTGATGCCATCCAATCTTACTGTTGTTTAGCGTGCGTTGCCAAATAAAAGCTCGAAAAGACTACCATAGCATTTTCGATTTTTCATGGGTCCAATGACAAATGGATTTACAGTAGCATGACAGGTCTGTCAATAAACCTGAGCATTCAATGCGCCTACCGATAGTGCACAGCAAAACGGCCTTCGGCAAAGTGTAATTCACGACTGTGACCTCTAACAAAGGGTCGGTCACGTACGGACAGACGGCCACAGTGAAATCAGGGCACAGCGCATAGCACATCAAAAGACCTTCACGGAACGCAAAGCGCGATAGCGACGTCAGGATGTAAATGCCGCATAGCACTTTCCTCCCCCGCGTCATGTCACACCTGATCTCACGTGATGGCAGTCTTGGTCGTCCGCGGTACAGTCAATCACAGGTGCTGCAAACTACACCAATGCTAAACCCCTTACGGCTGCTAGATACACGTGTGCCAGCCTGGCCAATCAGCTCCCTGTGGCTGGATCACGCAGGACTTCATGTGGCGGCTGGCGAGCTCACCTCACGTCGGTTGCAGCTGCACGTTCGTCTGACAGTCAAATTCCTCTTACCCATTCTCGCATTCTTTTCTGTACAGAATTAACCACTCCTTTCACTTGGTATGCCCCTTCCTCTCTTTTTATAAGAGGATTACACTGGCTAGGATCTTACCTATTCATTAAGCCCCTGCGAAGAAGACACGACGACCACGAACCGCCAAGTACATAAGCTCTCTTACGACCGCTGTCATATATAGCATGAAGGCAATATAGAACGCTTGCACAGAATAAAGTATTTCACTTATCTGGCATCCCCCTTCTCTTGTCACAAGGAACCGGACATGAAAATCGTACTGATTAGGGTTTTACCTCTTAATTAAGCCCCTGTGATGAGGATACGGCGACCACAAACCCCCAAGTAGATAAGCTCTCTCACGAACGCTGTGCTATATAGCATGAAGGCAACACAGAGCGCCTGAGAAAACCTTGAGCAAACAATCCAGGTGTTCGCTGGGAGCCGTTTACACCGAAAGAAACCTCAGGCATATTGCCACGGGTTAGATCCCGATGTATAACTAAGTGAGTGATGGTAGTTCGACCATCGACTTCGATGATATCCAGCATATGCCCCTATGAGGTTGGCGCAGGGAAGATGACTTGCGACAGGGGGCTAGTTTTAAGTGAATGTAGATGCTGCGCACCCTCAACCGTCTACCACGCTATTTGAATATAGATTCACAAAAAAAAGGTGTCCGCATACAGTTAAGCATTCGCCGCCTGAAAAATCCCCAGAAACCTAACAGATAGAGAAGTAGAAGGCGTTTCGATCACCGGAATCATACTTTTCTTGTCTGAGTTTTCGGGCTATTTCTAGAGTCTATCGTCAAAGATAAAAGACCTGGGCCTCGGATAAGAACTCAGTCAATCGATTTATCGATCTGGCACCGGCATACATCGCGCTGCGCAGGCATCTCCAGAACGACGGCACTGTTGGTTGACTGTTCCCCCACCACTCCCCCTCCCCTCCGTAACGGCTGATTGGCCCCTGCGTCCTATAACTGTTGCTTGTCTTTCGTTTACGCCTTTTATCTATAGAAATAGCCCCAAAGCTCAGATAAGTAAGAGTATGATTCCGGTGATCGCAACGCCTTCTACTTCTCTATCTACACACATAC